AAAATAGCAACATTAAATTTCACATAATAGTAAATTACCATGATTATCAAAGTAAATGGTGGGTGAACTGCCTTGTTGATAAGTCACAATTAAGTACTTACCATGTGCCATGCCTTTTGCTATATTGCTACATTCACTTCATTTAATCAGTAGAGACCTATATTTTCAGCTGTGTAACAAACATCACCTCTTTGGGAGTTCTTTGGGCTCCTCAAATTCAGCATACTAAAAATCTGAACTCCCCGTTCCACCCTAAACTTGCTTCATGTGTGTTCTACTTCACTGAATGACATCATCACCTCCTACTGGCCCAAGCCAGAAACCAAGGGGTCATCCTTGACTCTTCACTCTTCCTCAACTCCTCCTGGCCCATACCTTCCTTTTCTGTATCAACCGTGCGTTGCTAAATGGAAGATGAAGGTTACATGTAGAGAGGCAAGCTTTGAAATCGGTATTACTCCGGTCAGTAAGAAATGAAGTAGAAAATTCTTATCAGCAAATGAAATCAAAGAACATTATCCTGGACATGACCTACCTTCTTCTGTTCATCTCACCCAAGTCACCTACCACTGTTCCTGTTCATATTTTTACCTTATCAATTCCTGGATTATTGCAACCGCCTCCAAAATTCCCTGTCTTCACTTTCAAATTACTTAACCAAATTCTACATAATATTCAAAACTTCTTTTTAAAAAAAGCACTGCTGTTCACACTGTTTCCTCCATGAGAATGCCCTTCTTCCCAAACCATTAGTTCCACTGTAAATATTATTTCCTTATTTAAGTGTTCCTTGCTTTGCCAGTTGAAATTCACTCCCTCATACTCCCAGAAGCCTTTATCACTTCCTCTTCATGAAATTCAACCCTTTATAATTTGATATTTAGATTTCTACCTAAATATTTTCAGGAAAGTAAAAACAAGTCAACCTGAAGGAATCAGAGGATGAAACTGAGAACCTGGTACAGGCTCTTGGAACAGCCTATGGCAGTGGCTCTCAATCTCATCTGCACATCGGAATCACCTGGGTCTCAGGCGCCTGGGTGGCAGCTCAGAGGTCCTGGTTGCAGCCTGGGCATTGTCAGTGCTCTCCAGGTGATTCTGATGTGCAATCAAGGCTGAGACATACTGCTCTGTGGCGAATATAAAAAGGAGCTGCGATTAATAAAGGACTTTTACAGAGAAGTAAAGAGCTGGTAGAAATGAATAGAGATGACTCAAGGAAGGCAAATGGTACTGTAGGAAGAAATCTGGAAGACAAGGAACTCAGTCACACTTGTAGAGTAAAACTAAAATTGCTTACAACTGGTTCCAGGCTGAGGCTGGAAGAGATGAAATGGGCTGGGATGGATGGTCAAGGGAAACTCTGCCTGGGATGAGAACCAAGAGCAAGTGGTGGTAATGAGGTCGAAGGAATCCTGAAAGGGAATTCTGAAAAAAGATGCTGAAAGTTGGGAAGTTTTCAAAAAGGACAGAATTTGATGTGTGGCGACAATGGTTACAGATGCAGGGAAGTTGCCACATGAGGGGTACCCTGGTCATCAACAGTGAGGAGGAACATTCCTATTGGCTGCTGAAATCTTCGAAGAACCTTGGAGGTCTGACAAAGATGACAGCATCTTTGTGGAGGGAGGTGCTGTGAGCTGCAGGGTAGCTATGGAAAAGGGGAAGTTTTATGGAGAAATTGTGATGGAACAACTAACATCTGTGCCTCGGGACAGCCTCTCTCTAAAGTATATCACCCCCCACTTCCTCTCCCCAAAAAGTTCTTGCAGTTTAGAAAACCAGGTATGTATTTTAAGATATTTCTGTACTGGTAACTATAATAACCCCAAATCCTTATTTTTCATTACTCAGCACTGACCATGAGAAAAAAAAAAAAGACGAAATACAAGACCAAATAAACAAATTCTAAAATACAAAACACAGGGCTCACAGGAAATGACGGAGCGGGAATAGGAAGTTATTAAACTGACTCCTTCACGGTATCAAGGTGTGAGCAAAGGCTTCCTCTTTTACTTCAATACTTCTTCAACCTCGGATCCTTTCTCCCATCGGATTCCTGCCTGCTGCTTCAAAAACTACTGAGTTTTGTAGAAGGAGAAAACAGTTTAACTGCACACTGAGCTGAAATACCATCAGAAATGCCAGATCCCTGGCTCACTAAATCCTTTGAAATACATTATTGTAAACACTGTAGCCATCACGTCTCTATAGGATAACTGCACTATAGTCATTCCACAGCAAGAGGCAGGGATGCTATGAGTAGTGCAGTGTGTATTATAACACAGGTAACTATATAGATAAATTTTCCTCGAGCACCACCCAGTCAGTGGTCAAGTGCTTTAAAGTCATTTTCACAGTAAATATTAAACCCAATTTATCCCAGTAATAAGGAAAAAAAGCTTAATTTTTATAAGGAGTATCAAACCCCTACTTATTAAGGTGAGCCCAGGGAATCAATGACCAGAGAACACAAAAGTAGATACAAAGGAGAAATGCAAGAGAAACTCATTCTGACACTGATATTAGGGGCAAAAATAATTCACATTTTAGTCCCATGTCCCATTACATTTGCATCACTAGGTACAAGAGAAAATGGTGTAGCCCACAGAGTAGGTAAAAATCTACTATAATAAATAATACCTAACATTTGACATAGCAGTGCTATTTCCAGGTCCTAGTTGTTAAACCCAGAGTAAAAGGGGTTTATTGATCTGTTCACAGCATTCTAAAGACAGGGATTAAACCTGCTGTTTTGTTCTGACATATCAAACAGCTATGGAAAAGACCTTCATCTGCTCTGCCTGCTCCGTGACAGGCACTCAGCAGTGATGGTTCCTAGTTCACCGACTTTTCCTCCCCCTTCTCCAGAGACTCACCATCCTTTAAAGAACATCCCTTGGAAATTCTCAAATCAAGACAACAAGCGCACTGCGTTAAAGGTTTGATGTCCACATGAACAAGAGACATCTGATATAAAAGTACGTACATGCTGATTTCCTACACATGGGGGTACGTGAGGTCTAAGGTTGACCAAGATGAGCAAAGGGGAGGGTAAGAAGGGAAAGAAAGGAGAGGAGAAAACAATGAGGGTGCAGAGGAAGGACAGAAAGAATGTCAGTGTCATCGTGAAGGGCAAGCAACAAATTCCTCAAGCGCTGGGTCTATCACGAATATGTACCCCACACGAATTTGCTAAGAGTACACAGAACTGTCATTCCCCTAGATCCCCGGGACTGGGGACAGTCAGCACTGCCAGATGCATTCATTTCCACTGCTCCCGTGATTCTCTCGGGCAACCAGCGGAAGTCACTCTACCCTATAAGCTCCCAGCCCTGCGTGGCAGAGACATCAACAGTGGCCAGTCTGAGAATGGCGGCTTATTCTAGCTTAGGAAATCCTACCAGGAGTGGCTCTCATGGGGTCCTCAGTGTCCTGTGTCTTCAATGAGATCTGTGGACCCTCAGGAAAGGACTCTATACTCTCCCAGGGTAAACTCAAAAAGTCACTCAAAACAGTGTTCCTGCCAAGTCTTCCAGTAGCCGCAGCCTTTGTCAAAGAGCAGCTCTTGGGATTAATCAAGTCAAAATACCTCTCCACGGATGGGTATAAAAAAGCCTGTGTGTACCAAACAAGGCATCACCCCTACCTGGCCACCTGCCTAGTTTTTCGCAGTGTCTCAATTCTCCCTGGCCTTAGATGAATGCCCTTCCCCCTTTAAACAGCCTTCCTTGGCATTGCAGTGAGACTCAACTACTGCCCTTCTGCCTGTCTCTGAATTCCGCTATTGTTAGCACTCAGCACCTCACAAAAATTCCTCAATAGGTCTCTCTCTAGGGTTGCACAAGAATTCAAATCCCTGTGTCAGCCCTGGAGAGTCCAAAGCTCTTTATTAAATTTATGTTTGCTAAACTGCAATAATGAATTCTGTGCTAAAAACTGTAATTTTCTATTTTGTCAAAGTGATTTGGGATGAAAATTTTCAGGATTAAGTTCTCATTATTCCCATGATTGGGATAAACTACCCAGTTTTTCAGATTAACAAACAGTTAAATTACAAAAGATATTGTAATTATTCATTCATTTACTCACTCAAAATATTTGTGTCCGGCAAACAAACACAATCCCAAGATGTCATCATAATGTATACATTGTGGTACTTACTTCCAAAATAATCTGACATATTTAAAGTGTTTTATTTAATTGCAAAAAATAAACTGGAGTAAGGTGGGATGCGTGGGAAGTAAATACACTATGACTAAATATTATAGGAATTCTTTATCATTTAAGTCTTTTTATACATTATGAACATTTAACAACTATAAGCAAAACCAGGCATTAAAATAGTTGCTATTCTCTTAAAGAATGCTAGTATTTTCCCTTTGAAATTTCTATCACTGTGCACATGCAGATCACATAAGATATACTAACTGCTTGAACAGAACTGTTTGTCAAAAGTAAAAGAATTCTGTACAGCAAAATTCTCATCCCAAGAATAAAAAAACACAGCACAATGACGTCAAAATTAGTGAATTGTACTATAAATATCAAAGATAAATTTTATTCTTCCTAGCATATAAAAGATAATTTATGTTTTTCAAATTTCATTGAGAGTTTCTGTCTCATGAAGAACATGCAAATAAAGTAACAGTTTTCTTACCAAAATAAAGCCCAAGATAGGTACAAAAAATTAGGAAATAAAGTTTCTCCTTGGTTTAACATCCATGTGCACATAGAAATAAACATATATTCTCAGGAGTAACACACACTGACAAAAAGTTACATCTAGCAAAGGCAAAAAATGGGGGGAAGAAAATCCTACTGAGACTTTTCTCTTTTTTTCTTGTCAAGTCTCTGAGGCTTGACAAAGAATATAGAAAATTACTGAAGTAACAAAAAAAGGACACAAAAACCACATTTCAGACAGATAAACTTGCTTGCCAGTATTTAGGACCTGATTTCACAAACAGGTTTAATTCACTCCCTCAAAGGTCATGCTGTCAAGGCGGAGGATGAACACCTGCTCCCACGGAGTCAGACTGGCCGTGGGTCTGAGAAGCAGGGTGCCCCTCTTCCTCCACGTGGGTCACTTTATCCGACCTTGCTGCTGCTGGAGGAGGTTCGTTATTTGCGCCCTCTTCACTAGGTAATAGGTTACCAGGCAATTCATTGGACATTAGAACTTGCAAAGATTCTGTTCCATCTTCAACATCCACTTGAATCCCCAAAGCTTTAAGAATGTCACATTTGCACATGGGGCATGTCCCATGGGATAGAACCCAGGGGTCAATGCAATTCTTGTGGAAAAAATGTTTACAGGTCAGAATGCGAACTGTATCATTAGGCTTATAGAGTTCAAAGCAAACTACGCAGCTATCTCCATTTGGACTTACTTCCTCGTCCCCCTCTTTGAGGACCCGAATTTGGAGCTGGCCAAACGCTTGCTTGAGGTCAGTCGTTAATCGCTGCCATCTCCTGTTCTGAATCCTTGCTACCCAAAGTCTTCGAATATGGTAAAAGATGAAATACGCTAAGGTAGCGGTTGTGACAATCACAAAAGAGACAAAATAGTGATTCATCCAGATGATACGCTTACTCCCCACCTCAATCATGGCTGTCACGTGAACTCCCTTTTGAATTAAATGCAGAATCTCCATGCCTCTTAAGTTACCAATCATCACCACAACGATGTCTTCAAAAGCCTGATGAGACATGGGGAAAACCTGATTGCCAGTTCCCGGAAAGTTATAGATGATCACTCCACTGGCTCCCTTCCCAACCGCCACCTTAATCTTTTGTGTGAAGGTACAACCTCCCCGTTCAACCAGTGCAAGCCACGTCTCTGAGTTCTTTGACTTTCTGAAACTGGTATTGGGGCTACATGCATTTTGAGTTTTTCCCTCTGGTGGCAAGATAACTCCTGCTACTCTCTTCAAAGCGGAGCTTCTTCCAAACGCTCCAGTCTCCCCCAACTCCGACAACATGCGATTCCCAACGTGGAAGGATATGTTCATGTAGGCAGTCCAAACAGCGCTGGCCCTGCACCAGTGCTGGCTAAGAAGCCAAAGAAAACTGACTTCCATGAGCCAGGAAGAGGCAGGGTTGTTTCTCCCAGCGCCGATCTTGAGGAGATTCATCTCTCTCTTTGCTTAGGAACTGAAGGACCAACCCAGCAAAGAGGTACGGCTGCCACATCTGTTGACAATCAGTGTAAAATATTAAATTGAAAAAAATAATCTTCTGGGTGAAAACAAGTTCCACTGTCTTCCAGCATGTTTTTCCTAAGAAATTCTTAAAGACGTCTTGTGAGTTTCAGATGTTTGATGGTTTGTTTTAGAGAGAGAAAGAGAAAAACTTCAGATTGAAAAAAAAAAAAAAACCCAGCCTCACTACTGTTAACTCTAGATACTGCTGGCTGGTGGGTGATATGATTATGACCTAAAAGACAACACAGCCAATTAGGTAAGAGCTTAGAGCATGCTGTACGTTGATGGACTTGAATGTTTCAAGTGTTGTTATGGGTAATTTCTCTATTGTTACAAGATGGATTCAGTCCCTGAGCTGCATGTAATGTCACCAGGTATCACATTAAACTAAACAATATAAAAATTGTATAATGCATGCATTTTAAAACCTGAAAGCATATGCCAGAAGGTCGTACAATTAACATTTTTCTTTGCGATCAGTGAAGTAAATTTTTTTTATCAAAATGGCAAGTTTTAAAATCATGAATGGTAATTAAAAATTAGCACTATGACCAGCTACGTGCTAAAAGCAGTGAATTCAGTAATGTTATTTTTAACTCACATTTGGTCACTGTGCACATTTTTTATCTGTCACATAAACCTTTGAATTGAATTTAATAAAGCTTGCTCAGAAGCGCATTGGGTCGGTTTGGTTTCTGTCTGACTTTTTAAAAGTAGGGTATCCTGTTAAATTACTACGCCTCACTGCCCTCACTCTTACATTGATTATATGTAGGGATGACAGCAGTAAAGGCAGAAAAGACTAATCTCGTTTCTCCGCAGACCTTGGCATCTGTGACTAAGCTAACAATATTTTGAGGGAAGAGGAGAACGGGCAGAGGGGGGAAGAGTAAACATAGCAATAGCAGTTTAGCACAATTCACTCTGAACAAAAATGTAGCCATAAATTTTAAAAAGAAAAACTTCAAGGTCCTCACTTAAATTTAAGCGCTGACAGTAGTGATTGTTAAAGGTCACAGAGGCTTCTAACAAAACGTTTGCCAAAATCAACAAGCAGCCCTAGTGGAAGACCCCAGTGTACACTGTCAAGCTGCCTGGACTTTTGCTACACTTGGGCCAATGACACAATAAGACTTCAAAGCCAAAGAATGACTTATGAACTAACAACTACGGGCAGCCACTGGCATGGCCATACACTTTCTCGGGAGTATCTCTCCACGGTTCTTATCCGCCAGCTAGGAAACAAAGACCAAAAATGTTGACCTTGGATACAAATGTCTCTGACCTCTTTGCACAGGGTATTTACTAAGAGACATTTTTGGTTCGTCTCACCAGGACCACGGGAGCTAGTGTGTTCTTACGAAATGACAACCAACATGACAACTCAAACAGGAAAGACGAAGGAGAGAAGGTCCCTATGAGCCCAATAAAAAGCAGCATTAAAAAAACACTGATGTGGCACCTTCAGCTCACAGTGGTCGACTTTCTTTCTCATTAATCTGATTTCACTTCCACACACCCACTACTTAAAAAAGACCATGTACTACATAGTGTGGTGATGCACAAAGTGCCATTTGAGTTGGACATCAGATTATCCATAGAGAGCTTCATCAAAACAACAAAACTCAAATCTTTCAGCTTCTCATTGTTACATAGCTGTTTGTTATCTACCAGAAAAAAAAAAGAGGCAAATTAAGGCAAAAGATACAATTTGGAAAGGTGATTGAATAAATAAATTTCAATTCTACTCTAGATCTATATTGTCAACGTGTCCCAAATGGAGACATGCCACCATCTTAAGAGAAGCATTTGCTAGAGTCCATTCTAGAGGGAAAATTTGCAACCATAGCTGACTCACTATGCTGGGATTTAAGGGGCTCTGGCAAACAAGGATTTTTTATAATGCTGCCATAAACATGGCCTATAATAATTTAAAACATTTGTTGATACATCACTAGAAGTGCTATCATCTAAAAATAATTATTTAGAAGACATTACCTACACAGTCAGTAGCTTTGGCGATCAGATTTCCTAGGTATTAGCAAAGTTAATTCACCGTGGAAAATTAAATCAAGATCTAAACCTATAATGTTTATTGAACAGAGGTATTATTAGATATCAAAAATTAGAGATACAGAAACAGAGTACAAAAATTAATACAAAAGAAACCTTAAAATATTATGACTAATTCTCTGGGGTTTCAATGTCACAATTATTGCAATTTGAAAATAAAGACTAATTTGCTTTTAATGTATATTAATGTCCTTAATTAGATAAGGGCAAACATGTATAACAAAACACTAGAAAAACAACAAGTTCAAATAGCTGGACATGATAATGGAGTTTTATTTTAAAAACACACAAATTTCACCCTCTTTAGTACTTGAATAGAGAAGCTGCAGGTGAATTTTCTCTCTACATAAAGTGCTAAAAGAGAATTTGCCTTAATTGGAATCTTTGGAAAGACTTGTTTACATCTTTAGGAGATGCTCTGGGTTTCTCAGGTTTTCAGAATGTCACACTTGCACATGGGGCACGTCCTATGGGCTAAAAGCCAGGGGTCGATGCATGCCTTATGGAAGAAATGTTTGCAAGTGAGAATACGTACTACATCTTGAGGTTTGTATATGTCAAAGCAAATGACACAATTGTCTTCATTTGGATCTAGTTCCTTATCCCCTTCTTTGAGCACTCGCAGTTGAAGCTGACCGATGGCTTTCTTCACATCCGCCTTTATCTGCCTTCGCCTCCTGGTGGAAGAATTGGGCACTTGAGGTCTCCAGGCACAGTACAGAAAAAGATAGGCCACGGTGGCAGCCAGGAAGGTAAAGAGAGACATGATGTAATGGCTCAGCCATGGCATGTGCATTCTGCCCACTTCGATGATGATCGTCACATAGACTCCCTTCTGGATCAGCTGCAGGAGTTCCATGCCTTTCAAATTGCCTATCATCACCGCGACTATGTTTTCTGTTCCCTGGTGAGACATGGGAAACACTTTGTTGCCCGTACCCGGATAGTTGTAGATGATCACCCCATTTGCTCCCTTCTCTGCTGCCAAGTTGATTTTGTGTGTAAAAGTACAGCCTCCTCGCTCAATGAGGGCAAGCCAAGAGTCCGCTCGCTTGGGTCTGCTGAAGTTGGTCATAGGGTTACAAGCATTCTGATTCCATCCTTCCGGAAGCACCGCCACACCAGACACCCTTTCCAAGAGAGAGTGATTCCCGAACACTCCACTCTCTCCTAATTCTGATATAATCCGATTTCCCACCTGAAACGTTATATTCAGGTGAGCTGTCCAAATGGCTTTTCCTTTTGAGTCAGGAAGGCTAAGCAGTAAAAAGATGCAAAGCCTCAAGAGTTGAGACGAAACAGAGCTGTGAGTTGAAGGAGTAATTCTAAGTTGGCTCATTCCTCCATTTGCCTGTTCACTGACAACCATGAAAAACAAAACAACATCAAGTATAAAAGAAAGTAAAGAAGCTAGCTTCAGTTGTCGGCAGTAGAGAATGAAAGCGCTAAGTGGAAAAGGTCTGCGTGGATCAAAGACATCTGGCTCCTTCTGGCATTTTTATTTTTGGTAGATTATCTTTCTCATAATGAAACAGGATAACCAGAGTTGTTATTAGTACAATGTGACTGCAAGGAAATTGTGACTTCCTAATGGGGAAATTGTGACATCAGAGGCAGTTAAGCCAATCTGAGATTTGATGCTAGTGCACTGCATACTCCAATCCTATTGGCCAAAAAGCTAGTCAGCGATGACCCATGATGTGTACCAATCTGCAAAGTCTTCATAGCAAAAAGTAAACAGATCAGAATTTTTTTTTAAACCTTGAGTTTCTTTCCCAGTTCTGGATAGGCTGAAAGGCTGCCTAAATGCTGTTTTCCTATCTGTAAGGCAAAGCAGCAATCATTCATGTATGAGCACACGAGCCTGGCCAGTCAGCAGTTCTCAGGTGTGGTCCCGTGCTACCCAACACGCCATCCTTTGGGATGCAGGAGCAAATTATTCCCACTCCCTTCCGACATCAAATGCTTAGGCCAGGCCTAAAGGTTCAACATGAGGGCAATGCAATATAAACTTATATTGGTAGCCTGACATAGTGCCATCCTGCAAGACGAATTCAATTTATTCACTCAAATCACTGCTGAGAACCCACTATGTGTTAGGCAAATACTAAGAATGTGTCATATATTGGAGAAGAAAACAGACACACACCTACTTTGTGAAAATGATCTGGTCAGGGCAGATTTTAAACAAACGTGTCCCTGCAGGTTGTGATAAGGACTCTGAAAGGAAAACACAGAATCAGAAGGAAGAACAAATGTAAAAGGGAACCAAAGTTCCCCTGATCGGAGGTCCAGGGCATCACTCTCTTAAGAGTGATACTTAATCTGGGTCTTGAACAATAGGTCAGAATTACCCAAGCAAAGAATATGAGCTAAGAAGATTGCAGGAAGAGGAAAAGGCAGTTTTCAAGACCCTAAGGTAGGAAAGAAAGTGGCAAGTTAAAGGACCTGAAGGCGCATGAGTTTGGCAAAGCAAAAGAGGCAAAACTAAAGTGATGAGGTAAGGCAAAAGCAGTTAGAGGTTCAGGGTCATAAACCTTAGACTAAGGATTCTGGGTCATGCCCCAAGGACAAGAGACACACACTGAAGGATGCCTACCTGGGGAAGTGACTTAAGTGTTTCAAAGTGCCCAGTTTTTAAAGTGCACTTTGGCTGCCTTAAGCGGAAAATGGATTGAAGGAGGAGGAGAATAGTGATGAGCTGAGTGTCTTCTTTTGCCTAAAAGAAGACAGTGGCTTGGACTCCTGAGATAGCAGTAATGATGGAGAGACATCCACAAACCAAGTTACTTTAAGGCTATCACAAGCTACTACATCGCTTTATTGTTGCAAATTTTACTGCTTTAAAGATGTTTTAATGCTTGTTTGCTTTCCTTTTAAATCTACACCTAAAGATGTTTCTCAAGGAGTTAATAAACTGACCACACTCATTCAAACTCTTATTATTTACTATATACAGGGCACATGCTATGCACCAGGCATCCTATAAAGTCCTGGGGACACAAAAAGAAAAGACAGCCCCCATTTCCTTGTATGTGAAGTAGATCCTGACATTTAAATCAGAGGCATGTTGAGAGAATGTTTATCATTTTAACAAAAGCATTTATTGTACTTTTTGGTCTATAACATTTTAGTTAATAGTTGCTGTTAAAAATGAAAAATAGAAGCAATGAAGTTGCCACATTCATAGAATTTTATGTAGGCATCATTCAGTTCCCACCTGAATGTAGACTTTTTCCAGGTTCAAATAGAGTGTGAATTCCTGGCTTAATTATTAACATTGATGAAGTGAAGCCTTACCAAGAAGACAGTTAACATCTCCATATCTTGTTTGTTAAATACGTGATTAACATTTGAGGATGAGATTTTTAAAAAATAATGTAATTCTAACTTTGCTTTTTTAGTTTGCTGATTTTTAAGGGTGAAGGAGTTTAAGCAGTAACTATATTTAGCTCAAAACATTCAAATCTAAATGTTCTTTGCATGATTGAAAAGACTAATTTTAAAAACTCAGACTAATTCACTGTATTTTTCTCACTGTAAGATGAAGTGCTTAAGCCAACGGTAGGTAGAGGACTTCCCTGCTCTCTTCTGCCTGAGTCCTAGGACAAATGCATGTATAAGGAACAATCCTTCAGCTCTAACACAGTGGTTCTCAAGTCAGGGAAAATTTTACCTCCCAAGGATATTTGGCTATTTCTGGAGACATTTATGATTGTCAAAATAGGGGAGTACTACTGGCATTTAGTGGGCAGAAGCCAGCAATACTGGTAACCATCCTAAAACACAGGAAACAGCCCTGTGTAATAAGTAATCATCTAACCCAAAAGGTCAATAGAAACAGCCTTGGGAGGGAGGAAGCATTCCAAAACTCATCTGTCCCGATGGACAATCAGGTACGAGGTCTTATCATGAAGTTTATAATGGGCAATACATCCAACAGGGATGATGCCCTCAACCCATCTGCATTTCCCATCTCCCTTGAAACAGAAACGGTGCAGACCTGCACAAGTGACCTAGTCCATGAAGCCTCAAAACTGCACCCCTTTTATCAGGACCAGATCCAACAGTTTTGTATGCTGGGGCCAGAATGGTTGGATGGGGAAGAAGGGAAGCAGGGGTGGGGGGAAGGAGACCGGATGACTGATGTTACTCTAATCTGTCCCTTCGAGACCACTTACTCAGTACATAAGCTTCCTTTCTTTCTAACAGCCAAGTACTGAAGAGGTTTCCATTAGCCTACCTGCAAAGTTCAACCAAAAGAGAACTGAAGTCACAGCTAAGGTTGGTTGATCCCATAGTTCCAAAGTCCCTGCCCGCTCCTTCCATCCTGCCCCTCTGTAAGTGCAGGCTCACTTGATCATCCCCCATGGCGGCTACTGTTGCTCCAGGCATCCACAGGCAGGACGGCAGACCACAGTCAGAAGCACAAAGGGACGTGTCTTCTCTCATCTCTCTAGGTAAGAAGAGTAAGGCAATTTTCTTTTCCAGAAACCTACTAGGTTTCCTTCCGTGTCTCTCTGGCTGGCAGCACTTTAGAAACCCAAGTGTAGTGGAGCTGCTGGAAATCAGAGTAGAACCATCATGACTGGTTCAGGCTAACCACGATTTATCCTGCTGTGGAAATTCCTTTCCTGACTGAGCACATGGCAAGAGCAGGCATGAAGGTGATCAGTGCGCTGCCACCAAAACAAGGTATGAATTGGAAGGTGAGTGGGTAAAACAAAGTTTCTGAGGTTTACCCAAAGGAATGATAATGAAATAACCATTAACTGCAACAAACATGTAATATTCACTATACACAGGGTACCATGAGCCAGAGCCTATGGGATCAGGGACACAGCATGCCCTTGTTTTTTAGGGGGTCATCGTCTAAATAGGAGAAGAGAGTAACACACAAATTAGGTGCATGCATATTTATTCAACTATATTCCAACTAATATTCAAGAAGGTTATAATGTTCATTAAGTTGGGGGGTGGGGATCAGCTGATCTCTATCCCTCTGCTATTCATTGACCTCTGTTAAGAAAGCTCAAACGTTCAGAAACCTCTACTTTGATTAAGAAAAAACAGCCAAATACATTCACACAGCACTACCCAGATATTACCTCTAAATGCAGGGAGTACCGAAGAGGCTAAAATAAATTACTTCACAAGTTGCAGTATCCAGGGTTACGGTGTTATTAGAGATCTCTAGGAGTCCACAAAACACACTGGATTTGCACTTAATCTTGAGAATAACAACTGTATAGGGTTTCTGCGAGTAATTAAATACATCACAGTGGGATTTGGCAGGAACAGAATACTGACTCTAAGTAGTTTACTGAGAACAACAAAAAAGCAAATAATGCTAATGATAAATATTTTCTTAAAAAAGTTTCTTAATTCTTAGAGTTTTAAAGATAAAACTAAATTCATTTAAAAATGTTATCATATTTGATTGCAAACTGGTAAATCCTCACCAAAATTTCTCCTGAATTTCTCCCTTAAGTTAAACAATACTCCCACAAACTTTCCCATACATGTGCAGTAAAAAATTACTTTCCATATACAAATACACTTCTTCCTCTTAATGTCCCTGAACCCAAGAAAGAGTCCTGAATATGCTAAAATGGAATACAATAAACTTTAAAACTAACATATGAATTTTGAATTACTTTGACAGTCATATACTGTACTAGGGGCAGGTACAGATACATGAAAACCACAAAATTTACTCAGGCTCTTCATTAATTATTCTTTACATTAACCAATCTAATAACTTTCAATACCACTAAATGCTCTGGTAACTCAATATATTAGAGAGAATAAACAGCCAAAACAGACATTTTAAATCACCGTATCATTAGCTATGATTTCTTTGTGACGTAAGCCAGGATTCCTAGTCCTCTCTACCTGCACACCTAACAGTGGGGTGCATAAGGAAGGGGTAACTTCTGTAAGAGCTCCAAAAGTTCAAGCTCCAAGAAGCCTTTGTGACGTTAAAGGAGAACTCTCACTGATGTTTCTCAAACAGTGCCTGACTCACAAGGGTTTGTTTGAATGAATGATTAACATGGTCGGGTTCATCACATTTTTTTTTCACCACATTTTTTTTAACTCTTTATAAAAAAATTTCTATTGAAGTGTAGTTGATTTACAATGTTAGTTTCAGGTGTACAGCAAAGTGTGTCAGTTATACATATATATATTTTTTTCTTTTTCTTTTCAGATTCTTTTCCATTATGTTATTACAAGAAATTGAATATAGCTCCCTGTGCTATACAGTAGGTTCTTGCTGTTCATCTATTTTATATATAGTAATGTGTATCTGTTAATTCCCCAATCCCTAATTTATCCCTCCTCACTCTCCCCTATAGTAACCATAGTCTGTTTTTCATGTCCGTGAGTCTGTTTTTGGTTTGTATCCTGGGCACATGTCCATAGAAAACTATAGCTCAAAAAAACACATGCACCCCAATGTTCGCAGCAGCACTATTTACAATAGCCAAGACATGGAAACAACCTTAAGTGTCCATCAACAGATGACTGGATAAAGAAGATGTG